TTTTGAGTATTGGGTCGACATTTTCTTGGTAGACCTGCCACATGAATGGTATTTGTGACGGGAGAGGATGTAGGGGGCGGAGATCCACGTCTGCGGAACGGTATCCCATAATAAACGATTGATGATTCATCAGATTCTTCTCTTGAGCGGCTGACTCTGGTGATGCTTCTAGATCATATTCATCAGAGTCTTCTTCAGTGAGCTCATGCGTTTCTTGTCGGATCTCGTCCAGCTGCCGAACATGTTAGCTACAATGCCTACTGCATCGAAGGAGTAGCATCTGTACCTCGTCGTTGATCGAGGTCCAAAATGCGCTGCTGACGTATCGTGTGACCCCTTTGTCGTTGAGAACAAGACGGCCGAACTGCTTGTGAACATCGGAAGACTTCCTCATCAGCCCGAAACTGGAACCAGTCGCCCTCCCGGGAGGTGCTGAGGCTGGAGACCCATGGCCATGGCTACTACCGCTCGCGCTGGCAGCACTGTCATGTCTTCGACCGGCAACATCCTCTATCCCTCTTTTTGGAGCGGACTCGGGCGAGTTGCCCACACTGGCACTGGAGGTTTGGCGCGGGGCCTCGATTTCGATTTGGCCGCTGAGCTCTTCCACAATGCCTTCTAGTTTCCGCAGACGCTTCATCAACTCCAACTCTCGCTCGCTCGACGGTTGTTTTGACGGCGCGTTTGGGTCTTTGGGTCGCGGTCGGCGCGGCGCCCTGCCCGGAGCAGGGAATATGCAAGGGATCTGGGCCCTTCGGCAGTTGGAACAGGGCATGAGTTTGTCGCATCGTACCTGACGAACAGTCAGCATGGGCTTGCTCTCAGGGTTTGCGCCAAGTGCAGTTGGCACATACCTTCCTCCTCCGGCAAGTGACACAACTGCGAGGGTTCATGACGCTGGAAACGGCGGCATTGGGAGGGTAAACAGAAGCGCCGGGGGGCGGGTGTCGCGCCATTGCTTGTATTTGCTGGGGGTCGAAGCCGTCCTGGCTGGCCGATACCGAAAGCGCGTCGTTATTCGAAGCCTCGGACGCCGGCGCCCGAGGGCTCCAACTTGAGTCGCCTCCAGCCATGGCGGCGGGGACGGGATTCCAATGTCCAACAGGCGGCGCGGCGCAGTGCGATCGACTGGTGGCGGGGTCAGTCAGCGAACGAATCGGGAGCGGGCCGTGTAATAGAGGTTTCCGAGTATTGTCGCCGGCTTGTACGATGTGACCGGCGTCGAAGCTGTTGAAAATCCTCGGTGTCACTAGTGAGGCGGCGGACAGGGAGGCCGACGAAAGTAGGTGAGCATTGCTGAGGAGCACTGATTGAGGCGGCACAGGTGTGAGTCTGGAAATCTGGGCAAAGATCCCAACCGTCAGGTCCCGCCTGGAGTAAGAAAGAGTGGGGTCCGTCTGCGTTTGGTGGCCAATGCGCCATGGCGGAAATCCCTGCGCCTGCTGAGCCTTCAAAGGCTTGGCTCCTTTGCTGGGCGCTCAGGCCGCTTCCCGTCGCTTCCGAACTCTCAGCCGCTACGGGCTTCTCCATGGCAGACATCACACCTCTTTTCCTGGACTCAAGGAGGTGTTTCTGGTTTTCATTGCACCGATGATGCGCTCCTCTAGGAAGGGTCGATGGTTTCAGCTTTGTCAGGTTGCCGAATCGAAGTTCCAAGGTCCACCAACCTCAGAAACTCCAACCTTGGCTGTGGACTTCCTCCAACCCCCCAGGTCAAGACGGGTCACTTCAGCCTTGCCGCTCCTTCGTCTGGCTGTCTCTGCAACACTAAGAACGCCCGATGCGTGTCCAACGGTTTTGTCTCCCTCGAGGGTACATGCTTTTAGCGGCCAGGTAGCGCGGGATTGCCGAACCAATTCAGTCCGGGTACCAGCGTCGGGATGTCCCGCCACCCCGCGGTGCCGAGATCGGCTGGTGACAAAAAGGACACATGCTTTTCGCAAGCCAGTAATACGAGGCTCGAAGGTGGTTACCCATCAACCAGCAGGCAACGATTCTCTCTCATATCCGTACAACCAAGGCGTCGCCATGACATGTCGGGTCCCTTGAGCGCTCTCGATGTGTCATTGGCCAGGCGCGATGCTGTACCATCAACTGCATGGGCAATGCAAGTAAAAACCCCTCGCATGCAGCATCTCAGCCGTCAAATTGGTTGGCAGACGCCCCGTCGACCGTGACCAAGGCCTGGAGATGCTCGCACCACGCTCGATGTACAGGCTTAGATAACCCGGAGCCGCATCTCGTCTGCGCATGACGATCCCCTCTCAAAATGCAATCACTTCCGCTTCTAGGAGGAACGACAGCAGCAGAGTCAAATTCAGCGACTCGCAGATCTGACGGATATTGTCTAGATGGCCGCGATCGCGTCACCCAGCGTACCAAGCAATACCGCTGAAATCGAGTAGGTCTACGACAAACACCAACTCCAGCTGCCGCAATGAACTTGCCACGGTGCTGACCGCTTGCTCTAGCCAAACACACGGGATCGAAACGCCGCTCTTGGCGCCGACACTCTGGAAACCCGAAACTGAGGAGCATTGGGAAATTCAAAAGACGAATATCGGAAAGCTTTATCTGGAATTGAACCTCCCAGTTGACGACGTGGCGGCCATAATGAAGGTCAATCACCAGTTTTCTGCAAGGCACGTTCTCCAAGTGAAGATCTTCTGTTTGATACTGACGAATACATGTGCGCTTGCAGTCGCAAAATGTATCGAACTCAGTTCTCAAAATGGAACTGGCGTAAATACAAGCCTAGATCAACTTCAAACAAACCCACACGACGCCGGCCTCCCCTTGCGGGGGAACAGACATGCCTTCGATCTGTGTCACGAAGGACATCCGTCAAGTCAACGCTACTAGACCCCTGCACTAATTCGAGGGGCACGCCCTTCATTGAGTCAATCAAAGAACATGCAACCCGCCTGACCTGGCTCAGGTTACCTGTGGACGACGAGATGTCCCGGCACAAGTTCCGAACCATTCGCCACATGTCACTATTCCTCGGATACTGCCCCCCCGAAATCAATCCATGCAGACTCAACAAGAGCAACTGGATCATGTCTGGTTTCTACCATGGCCTCGGTATGCTGCTCTCCGGGAATCACAAGTTTGCACGGATCTACCTGGACTGGTCGTTTTCCCAAATTAGTCTGGTTTTGCACTGTTCAAACTGGGAAGCATTGCTCAAAGTCTGTCTTTTGGAGCCCTACTCGTTACTTGGACTGTCACTTGGCCGAATATCTTCTGAGAGTTGCAAGGACGGCCCACTCCTCGACTGCCATCGGATTCTTGATGACGCTCTGAAGATCTATCTGGACTATGTTACTCGGCTCATTCGCATCAGACTTGGAGATCACCCCATGGCCTCCGCTGTGGCGGGGATGAGGTATGCTTTTACTGAGACGCCAGGACACTGGAGTCATTTTTCTTTGTTTCTTCAGGAGGAAGTGATTGGTGAGATGATCAGAGTCGGCCGCATACATCTTTCTAGGGATGTTATTTTCTTGCAAGACAATTCTATTGTCAGGTGTCAAGTTTGAAGCCGCATTGTAGTTATTTCCCCCTGGGATGACAGAAAATACTGACCACTACATCAAATCTTCGATATTAGGGTAGTCCTTGAGCAAGTTGATGATAGGGAGAAACAGTGTTTGTTGTCCATCCACCGATTGTGCATTGAGATACTCCCTGATCTCCGCCCAACTCTTCCATGACCAACCTTCGCACTTCTCTGGCTCCAGGGTCTGGATCACGCACCATCAGTACTGATATTTGTGCCTTCGTCAATAGCAACGCTTACCATAGGCTCCTGATTCTCACTAGCACCGGTTCTCTGACACACCACAAACAAGGTAATGTATTGCTTGTTGTTTTCTCGAAATATGTCGTTTGTTACCGCGACAATCTTCTCAGCATGGACTTGGAGGCCCGTCTCTTCAAGCGTTTCCCGCTCTGCGCATTGGAGCGGTGTCTCGCCAAACTCGAGATGGCCTCCGGGAAATTGCCAGTGACCTTGAACGCTCAAAAGTAAGCTTCTCGCCCTCCAACAGCTCGGTAAACGATATTTTAAGAGAAAAGAAGTACACACCAATACCATGGGAATTCCCCTTGCGAACACCAACAACCATCTTCCCCATTGCATTCTTCACAACCGCCGCAACACCAACTCTCACGACTGGGTTCGACGACGCCATCTTGTCAAAACCGAATCGTAATTCCTTGCTGTGTCTGTAATGTTATCCTATCCCCAACGTTGGGTATCCGGTTCACCATCCCAATGACTCACGGTCCCATCCCGGCAATCCTGCGCGCAGCTGGCAACGGTCGGAACCACCTGCATACTCTCCGTCCACGGCACCGCCATTCCCTTTCCTCCGATCCGGTACTGCTGACAATCCGCCCCTCTCCCAATGCCGATACCGCTGATAGATCGTACCCTACATCCGCTCTGGCAATGGCTAGCCAGTAGATATGCCCTGCACTACACTGCAGTGCGGCCATAAAAACCCGGGCTCCCCCATGACAAAAAAAAACCGAGACGCCTGTACCACTTGCAACATTACCCCCAGCTTTAACGAAGTGATAGTCAGTCAATTTTGTAGCAAATCGATTAAAATCAATTGCTTTCTAATACCCAGTCATTACTCCACCAATTTCTTAACAGAGCTTGAGAATATTGGGGGGTTTGTTGATCCAGCAATCATTAGAGGTTTGTTGCAGTGACAAGCGTCTCGATTATTTTGTCATGAGGAGCCAGCGTCACCGCTGCACCGCTGCACACAACTCCATTGTTCACCGCTGCGGCTCCACCATCCCCACCATCCGCTCCGCCGCCAGCAAACCAAAAGATCGGACGAAAACGTGGAAAGCACAGGGTACCCCAAAGTAAAAGAAAAAAAGTTTATGCTGCTCCCAAGACCTTGTTCCACAGAATCAGGGCAGGGCACGGTTTAGAACCACAATTATCGATCATCACATGCATCCCCTTTGAAACAAATGCCCGGCTGGCGCAATTGGTAGCGCGTAAGACTTCTACATCACCTCTTGAGACAAGAGAGTGCTGGGGTTTCATCTTAAGGTCGTGGGTTCGAGCCCCACGTCGGGTGTTTTCTTTTTGTTCTTCATGTTTTTGATCAGACCATATTTTTGGCTGTCGTCTGTCGTTGTGCTGCAGGACAGCATTGCCAGGGCTGCAGTGAGTCAACCGGGTGCAGCCCCTGACTCTGCCATCACCTCTGGTCACAATCACACCACAACAAGCAGTGGCAATGATTAAAGCATGCTCTTTATTCAGACCGCCACCTAAACACATGAAATGGGGTATCAAGCCCTTCCTGATTCCAACCCTGACCCTGTTTGCGATACTGATCCAAGAAATGTACTACCCAATGCCGTCACCGTCTACTGGCCAGTGGCTCAGCCCTCGGCGCGATTCTATGTGTGATGCTGCCGTGTAAAGTCCGGCCGTTACGTGACATTAGTGTTCATCGTGGTTCGCATGCGCGCCATCGTAAGTCGTCATGTACAATCCTTCCGCCTCCCTTCGACGATGGACATGTGTTCCGCTAGCCTCATTAGACATGACATCATCTCAGGCCGCCAACGCCCTTCTCCACCACGAATTTCACCGGTTTCCTAACCCGGCGGTTGGTCGCGCCCCTAGGGGGGATCACCGGTCGCATTACCGGTCCTGGACCCAAAACTTTGAAGTTGCCAGCCACCTTGTGGTTGACTGCAATGCCCCCGCCGACTCCGCCCGGACCCATCTTGCCGCCCTGGGCTTTGGCGACTCTGGCGCCGGGAATCTTCCAGCCTTCGATCTTTCCGCCCTTCCCACGCTCATCGAAACCCCAGCGTTCGACGCCTCCGCCGATGAGCCAGCCGCCGAGGTTTTTGCACTGGCTGACGTCCAGCCACTCGAGGCGCCCGCAGCCCTCCAGCACGTTTTCCACACCGTTTCCGGTAACGCGAACGCAGCCACGAACGCTGAGACCCCGGAGCTCATTGAGGTGAAGAGCGACGCACCCAAGGCTGGTGTCGCTGACTGCGCTCCCGCAAAAGGCGAGCCTGAGTTCGCGGAGGAGCGGCAAGCCGAGAGCAACAACCTCAGTTGCTGTATCAGAAAGGGCACAGCAGAAGCTGAGATCCAAATGCGTCAAGTTCTTCGCGGCGTTGACCAAGGCGATGATGCTGTTGTCTGAAAGGTAGGTGCAGTCTGCCAAGCAGAGGTGGGTCAGCTCGTTAAACCGGTACGGCGCCCACGCCTGAAAGCCAGCATCTGTGATTGACGTGCAACGCGTGAGAGTCAATGATTCCAACCGATTGGCTGCGTGGGCCGCAAGGTGAGCCATGGAGCGGTCCGTAATGTGCTTGCAGTATGACAGATTAAGCCGGCGGAGATGGGGGCATCCTATAACAGTGCCGGGTGGCGGAGGGGCGGGTGCCGCGGACTGAATGGCGTTCTGTTTCTCCATCTTCTGCTGATGCTGAGATGCCCTCCTGCCTTTCGCTGCCGAGCTGGAGATGACAACGTTCTTGGCGTTTTCTCGAGCCGGAGGTTGTTCCGGAACGACCCAGCCAACGACCCTCGCAAGCAGGTTGTCGCCTACTTTGCGGCAGTTGCTCCAGTCCACCTCTTCCAGGCCCTTGTTATTCTCGCTCATCTCCAGAATCTGACCTGCAGACACGTCCCAGACACTCTTCATCTTCCAAGTCTTCACGTTTTTGCCGCATGTGCGCCACAAAGCCTGGAAGCCTTCGTCCGTGATGTGGAAGCAGTTGCTGAGATCGATCTCCACCGGGCGCAAGCCGATGAATGGGGCGATGATGTTGGCGAGTGACCAATCATTCACTTTTCGGTTTAGGGGCCCGAGGTCGACATGTGTGCAAAGTCGTGGGCTTTCGGTCAGTAGCTGCCGCCACTTTTTGCTCACCGCTCTCAGCCGAATTAGCTCTAGAAGATCCATGTGCTTGAAGACGGATACTAGAGCATCGTCCGAGAGAATGATCCCCCCGATTTCCGTCGCCGCCGACGCAGAGCTTCGGGGAACAGTCCGTGCGCGTTTGGCAGGCAGTGGGGAGTCATCGCGAGAGCCCGAAGGGACAGACGGAGATGGGGATGGGCAAAAAATCTTGAGGGCATTGTTGTCGGGTGCGCTCGGTTTCGTAGGGCTGACTATGGTGGAGGAGTCCGTCTGTGGAGTAGGTGGCGCTAGAGAGTTGCGCCGACGGTTACGAAGGTTTTCCATGTCGACGCTCAGATACGGGTCTGGGTCCGATGGCTGCCGCGTCTCGGCATCGGCTTTGGTCGGCGAGGCTGGTTTTGAGGGCGTGGTAAACGTGACCTGCGGGAGCATGACTTGCTTTGGTGGCGTTGATGACCGCTCGTCGTCGGAAAGTGCGCGGCTTTCAACATCCTCCATTTCGACATCATCGTCGGAGCGTTGGTACCGTTGCTTCGCTGTTTCTTCTACCTGCGACTTTATTTCCGGCGGGCAGCGTTTCCAGAGCTCGTCGAGGGCCTCGCCGCCAACCATCAAGCACTCCACTGCTGTGATGGACCGAACGGTAGCTGTCCTCCCTTCTGAAAGACCCAGACTCGAAACCTCCCCAAAGTATTGACCCTGCTTCAGCCTCGGTCGCATGTAGGATGCTCTTGCGGTACGTTGAGGATTCGGGGGGCTCGGTGTTTCGTGTATTACCTCGGCTTCTCCCCGGACGATGAAGAAGATTTCGTTGCCAGGACTCCCTTGGCGGATGATATCGGTAAAGGGGGTATAGGTTTTTGGTTGAGCGCTAAGGCCGATGAAATGCAGGATATCGGGAGGAAGCGTCGAGAAGAGCGGGAGCTCCTTGAGCGTTTTCCGGATGTTAACGTAACCGCTACCAAGCGCGCTGCCGCTGATGGCCGGATCTTCGATGACCCCAGGGCTCGGTGATTTCCGTTTCTTAGTGTTCACAGCACCGCCCTCCTTGATGACGCCAACCTCTCCTGTGCTGACTTCGCCCGGGGCCGCTTCCCGCGCAAGCTTGGGGCCGTCGTTGTCGGGGAGCTTGCCCACCTGTCCGCTCTCTTGGCGCTTTTTCTTGAGGATGGTCAACCGCTCCTGCGCCTCCTGTCGAATGGCCTTCTCCATGTCGGGGTACTTGGGGAGCTCTGCCTGCAGGTCCTCCTTCTTGAGCACGACGAGCAGGCATTTCGTCCTCGCCACGATGGTTGCCGTCCTTGGCACGTCCATGAGGACGCCGATTTCTCCGAAGAAGGCACCCGGCTTGAGCTCGGCGTAGACGGCCTCGCCATCTCGAGAGGTGACGGCGACGACGCCGCGGACCAGCCAATACATTGCTTTTGCTTCGTCGCCCTCGGTGAGGATGTGGTCGTGTGCCGAGTGGATCTGGGGTCTTAAATGGGCGCCGATGGCGACCAGGAAATCTTCCGGGGCAGACATGAAGAGGGGAAAGGACCGGATGCGATCGACCAGGTCGAGCGGCATATCTGGAATGGTCGAAGCCGTCAGCGGGGAGGGGCGCATGGGCCGCGTCGGGTTCGCTTCGACATTGAACGACCTGATCATGGACGATACAGAGCCCTGGGCCTGTTGCTGGCCCGTCTGGGCTCCCGCGCCATGGTGCGCATGGTGGTGGGCCAGGGCCCGGTAGGCCGGAGGAGGCGGAGTGCGATTCCGCCGCATCGTGTGCGCGCTGGGCAGGGGCGGGAGAAGCCCCCCCGGACACCAGATGGCTGATGTGCCTGACGAGCTATTTGGAAACTTCCGAAATCCCAATCTAGCTCGACACGTTTATTACCTCTGGGGGATGACGTCTCTCGTCCCGCAGTCCCGTATATTGCGGAGGGGCCGGTTAGATCGAAATTAGGCGGGGATGCTTCATGCTATAGCCAGTCGAACCACGTCTTCCCCACACGATTCAGAACCACGGCAAGCTTCCTTGGGGAGCCGCTTCTCGATTCTCTCGTTCTTCTCCCGCTCGGCACGCTTGGCTTCTGTGGGGAATAGCAGATCGTCGGATCGAGAGGAATTGGAGAAATGAAGCCTCCGTGATGCCGTGGCCGGGAACACGCAGTCGTTCGTGGCCCAGTGGCTCGATTTCTGAACAGCGTCAATTCGGCTAGCGTAGATCGGAGCTTTGCGCCCGGCTTTTCTGCGTTTGATGTTTCTCGGCGAGCAGTCAAACGGAACACTCGCGCAGCATTGTAGGACGTAGAGGGTCGATTGGCTTGATTTGATCGCGGTCGCGGGCTCGTTCGAGGTAGATGGAGGCTCTGGGAAGGGAAAAACCTTGGTCAGCATCAATGCCTCGTCTCTCCCACCGGCCGGCCAGATGGAGTCGCTTACATGGTGTGGAGGGCTTGAAACGCGCACGTCGGCGTCACGAGAACGCCGCTGGGAGGACGGATTTGGAGATTCCAAGGTGTGGGGTAATAATGGTACAATAGAAGCTCGGTAAGAACAAGTTCGCGGAGATCAGCCAGCGAGTCGGATCGCAGATTTGGCTGAAGAGGAGTTGTGTGTCTGGACCAGGAGACACAAGACAGGTGACGGGAGCGGGAAACCGGCCGGCGTGGGGACCTGGGAAGCTGAGGTCGCAGGACGGCGCCGTCTCGAATGTCTGGAGAACGTGGGACCCGCTCTCTCTCTCTCTCAACAATGCCCGCCTTTCAACAAATTTTGAGATCCGAGCCTCAGTGCGACCGAGCAGCCACCAACAGCGCCCAGTTCCAGGTTCGACGAGCGGAGGAGGAAGCAGTGGTAAGCTGTGGGCATGGTGGGAAATTCAGCAAGGGAGTGCAGCAAGACAACGGAGGGGCGCGGAATGGCGCGACGGCTGCCGGCTTCCCACGCGGCAGGTGGAATTTGGGGCGTGCGGTGGAGCAACACACGGCCGAGCAAGCCACAGAGCAACCTGCAGCTCCGCGTCCTTCCTGGCCTGCCTTTCCTGTCTGCCCTTGGAGCGTTCAAGGCGATGTTTGATGTGTGTGTGAAGATGCGCTCGTGCTCAACCCAGGAGTCCGGACAGGGCGAGAAGATGCAGCCAGATGAATTGAGCAGGAGCTCGGCTGGTGAGGCCAGCTCGATTGGTTTGGTCT